GCCCACAAAGCATAGTCAAGTTTGACTGACCAATCCATTTTTGTTGGATTTACAGATTTTTCCATAATTCTTTTAATTTCCTGATTGGATAATTCAGCCAAACCACTTGTGTGAGGATGATAAACAGTAGCAATTCTATGATATATATGATATTTCTGTAATAATTTCCCCATAATGGCATTTCTAAAATGACTTCCCCCATCAATAATGATAACTCTCGGCATCCCAAATCTATAACATATGATCGTTTTCAAAAATTTTGCAACACATTGAGCATCACATCAAGGTAAAGCAACAATTTCTATCCATTTGGAAACAGTCCACTGCTAAAAGAATATATAATTTTCCGAAAGATGGTATAAATGATCCCATGAAATCTAATCTCCAGACATCAAATATTTCAACTTATAGCATATAATTAAGGGGCATATAGCTTATAATTAAGGGGCATCTCATTTCTTCTAGAAATATTGCCTTCTCTTTCACATCTATCAAAAGTTTTGATATAAGCATTAATATCTCTAAAAATTGTAGGCCACTAAAATCCCTAAAATCCACATTATTGAATTTTGTATGTTGTTTTATCAACACCAAAATGTCCCCCAAAATCAGAATTATGACATTTTTGGATAATTTCATAAGTTTCTTCTAATGGTACACATCTTCGAATGATCAGATCCTTTCCAGTTGTTGGTATGTCATTCCATAGGGTTTAAAATCACTAACAATATAGTTCACAATGTCGGCATACCACGGAACACACCACTCATTTAGAGTGAAAAATTTTTCATCTGAAAAATCTTCATTAATTTCTTTTTCAAAACAGAGTGGTTTTTCTAATTCAAACTTGGACAAATGATCAACAATTTGATTTTCAGTTCCCTTCCGATGTACTATTTCAAAATCAAATTCTTGTAAAAGAAGGATCCAACTTATAAGTCTCGATTTAGTATCCTTCTTTTTCATTAAGTATTTAATAGCAGAATGATTTGCATGCATTATACGATAGTTTCAATCAAATATGATCTAAATTTATCAAAGGCATATACTATTGTTAATAAATCTTTTTTAGTTGTTGTATAATTAATTTGAATTTCATTAAGAGTTTTACTAGCATAGTAAATAACTTTGAAAATTTTATCATAT